ATTGCCAAAAATACAAAATCATCTTGAACAATTCAGAAATTTAAATAGTAGATGAAATGATCCTTGAAGATTCTCATGTGAGTTCCTCTTTTCTTGAAACCTCTTGTCAGCTTCTTTGTTGTGCACTTGTGAGGCATCGATCTTCCTAATTAACTAGATCATGATAGCGCGCGTTGCTGCGCCTGTTCGTTTCTGAAGAAGTTAGGATATCGTGTAAATATTTGGAAAAGATAAAGAAAACAAATTTACATAAGGTACACCTATATTAGACAATGATGCAAATATAATATGATAGTAAATAATGCTTGCTAAGGGGCCAAACTTTGATGCACGTCCTGTTGTGACGTCGCCATGACAGGTCAAATGACACGTAACAAATAAGCTTCTCTAAAATACAATTACCCGCTGAAGCTTTAAAGGATCACCAACATAATTTCAGGAACTCTTTCACATACATGAGACAAGCATACGGCAATTTTCAATAAAAAAGTACCATTTTCACTGTCTCATAGGCATATATAACAAGTAACAATTTTCACAGTGGATAACATTTTTCTTACGACATAACACATAAAATGGAAACTAAGAGTATGGAAATTTTAGTTTTTTTAGACATATAATAGTGAGCGACAACTTCCACAATGTTTGAGATTCCCTCTTTAGACCTCATATCGGCTAATATGATTACGGCGTGGCTTACATAAAGAGTGCAAGAGAGAACTGCGTACTTTTCTGGCCATCAAACTTTTCAGGGCTCAAAACCTCTTGGTGGTTTCTGAAATATCTGATGGTTCAATAACAAAATGGTCATCTTGACCTACATCCATACTAAATTGCACAAAGCAGCATGGTTAGTAGTGCAATGTCGGGGACTATTGCAAACCAGACCCATAGTGTGGTTCAAAACTTGTATTTCTCACTTTTCGAGAATATACATCGAGAGGTGATTATTCACATAACGGGAGACTTTTTTTAAGAAAAAAATGGGAGACTTTCTACAGGTACATATATGAGATAGACATCCCAACCTCACTAACTGAGAGACACAAAAACGGATAAATTGACTACTCCCTCCGTCTAGGTGAGTAAGTCATCTTAAGTTGTGCATCGTGACCGAGGAGGAGGGGAAACGAGAGACCTTAATGTTTATTTTCTAATTAATAGCATTGCATGTAATGAACTACACCACTGCATGTCATGTTTGGTAGTCTCAAGTCATTAAAAGCATGCACACCCCTCGTCTCTTATTGGTTAATATGTGAAGAAATAAGAAACGAGGTAGAAATTAATGCACCGTGCCTAAGTGTTTTGGGATTATTAGGTTTTTATAAGATGACTGACACACCTAGACGGAGGGAGTATGTCAATGCCACTACCAAAGAAGCATCCAGACGGGACTAACAAATCATCCATGGTTGATTTGCACATACTTCTTGGTATGCCTGACTTAACCCCAACAAAAGGCGATGGGCATGTCTGCATGTGCATCGCACACGAGACAAGGTAAAAAATAAAACACATTAACCTCATTCCATGGTGATAAAGAATCTCACAATTTAGCTCAACGGGGTGGATATAAAAGTGTTTCCTAGGATAATTTTTTTGGAGTTACTGTTTCCTGGGACAAATAAGTAAGAGCAATTATCTCACAAATAAATGTTTGGAGATTAAAGCATTAGCAGTGCTCACGGACACTGGGGACGAAAGCACGCACTCACCGACCGGCCCAGTAAGCATTCGCGGCCGGATCAATCACAGCTCGCCCAGCTAGCTCCATGGAGCAGCGGCCCAGAATAAATACCAGAACATCAAAACAAAAAGTGATCGACTTAATTGCTAGCGATGGCAAAGCGTTGTAGATCCATCTAATAATTGGACGGCTAGCGATGGCAAAGTGTTGTGGTGACTCCTAGCTAGCTCAGTTATATTGTTTAGTAATTAATTAAGCCATCAAAGTATGAGAAGAAAAGTTGGCTCAGCACATCAAGCATACCCGGTTTGGATTCAGCCCATCAAAGCATATCAGGCAATGTCCACATGCCACCAACAAATTCTTTCTCAACCAGAAAGGTAGGCAGAGCAAACAAATCCTTGGTATTTTCAAGTGTATGTTGTTCATGTGCGCACAAGCCCACAAATCTTGATCAAGCCATGCCAGAGGAGGAATACTTTAAATCGCCAGCATGCCAGGCAATTTGATTCCAGCTACCATGCATCCTCAGGATACTAAATCAGAAACTAAGCTAGTAGATACCAACGATTGACCATTCACGAATAGGGCATTCAACAACATCATAAACAAACTTTATGAGCTAGTAGATTTGATGATAAACACATTCAGGATGCATGGAAGAATTAACCTAGCTACAAAATCATACTATA